CTCTCTCTCTCTCTCTCTCTCTCTCTCTCTCTCTCCCTCCCTCTCCCCTCTCCTTGCCCTTCCTATTCCATCCATCTCTTGTTCTTAGGGTCATTCTCTCTCGTGTACACCCTTGCCTATGCTCTCCCCCAAAATTGGCAACGTAGCAATGTGTTGGAAAAAATATCGATATTTAAGTTGGTGGTTTCTTGCTGACGTACATTTTGAATATTGCCTGGAATGGACCTGTCTCATGAATAGTCAATTTTCATTGCCCCTCTGTTGATTATGTGGATGATATGGAGCGCAGTCTCTGCGCTGGGGAAACCCCACATATGCTCCACACACACACACACACACATTTCCACACACACACACACACACACACACACACACACACACACACACACACACACACACGCGCGCAGGGACGCACACACTCACACAGACAATTAGATTACCTATATAGATCACCTACAGCTTTCTTCTTTCTTCTTCTTCCGAGTGTTTTCTTGTGCTTTGCTGTCCACTTGCTGAGCGGTTTGCCCTTCCCGTGCTTAAGTACCTAGGTTTAGCACCTTTAAGATGTGCCAAATAGTCAGTGCCTGTTTGTGTGGAGTGCCTGTAACAGTACTTGGTGGGCTGCTGAGTTCAGTACATCCGTGTGTGTGTGTTTCCTGGGTAATGACAGACATTTGCTGGAGCATCTCCCTGGCTCAGAGGGTCCCCTGAACCAACAGTCTGTAGAGGTCTACTTGTGGTGTGAGTGGGTGATAATCTGCTCTGGTCTGTGCTGTAAGAATGGAATTCCTTCTCGGTGCGTCCCTGCTCCTTGCCTAGTCGCCCAGCCCTTGCTGCCATTTCTGCCTTGCTCATCATGCTTCCATGATGCTAGCCTTGCTGCTCTGCTGCCCACCCGCCTCCCCCTGGGCCTACGGGCTATGCCTTGCTGTCGCTTCCTTAACTGTCTTGCTGCTTTCAACCTCTTGTACATCGCCCAGGCAAAATTGAGGATCGAAATCAAGCCAATCCAAAAAAAATACGGGGCTGGGGGCTAGCAGACCACAATGGTCGGCAGCACCAGTCAAAAAAGAAAAGAAAGTGTGCGGCTGGTGGTGCGGCAAAGTTTGGCGTGCATAGCGAGTACGCCACGGCTAAAAGACGCTCCGATGTAAATGGTCCTTTTAACCACCAGTACCTCTGAGCCTCTTTTTCCCAACATGGATTTGCGCCACGTGACAATAAAAACAAAACAAAAAAACGAACCGCCGGCGGCGCACTTCTTTTCGTTTTTGGCTGGTGCCACCAGCAATTTTGCTCCAGTACACTTTTCATCCAAAGAACCTGGATTGTCGCAATTGCACTTCTGAATCACAAGTTTGCCTGGTCAATGTACCGCTGCTTGCCTTGATGCCTTGATGCCTTGCTGCTGGACCTGCTATTCTGCTGCTTGCCTTGTCGTTTCGCCCAGGTGCCTATTGCCTTGCTGCTCATCGTGCCGCCCTGCAGCTTGCCTTGCTGCATTGTCGCCTCACGGCCCTCACCCTTGTCTTGCTCATCGTGATGTTGCCCGTAGGTCGTCCACTTACAAAAGGATCAAAGGGGATCATGACTCTAGACGTCGACATGGCATTACCATAGAATGTTGGGGTTTCAGCCTCCCAATGAGTCTGTACAAGTCCGACAATACAGTCTGTCCGTACCCTGCGGCGCGCTTCAGGTTCACCAGCTGAGATAGTTGGCTTGCCCCACCTGGTTGGTCTCTGTAGGGGCTTTCCTTCGTCCCATCTCTCGCTAGGGGCTGGGCTCAACCTTATGTGCGTAGGCTCAACCCTATGTGAGTAGTTCCAGATGATTGTGGATTCACCCATTAGTGAACTTGTGGTAGGCAGTTAGGTAGAGTGAGGTATATTGAGAGAAGTATATAGCTTGGTTTTCTCAAAAAAAAAACAGAACAAAAAAGCTAGGTTACCTGATCGGACGTCCGGGACCCCCCTGACCGTCCGGGGTTGTCCGATCGGACAACTGGGCGGACGTCCTCCCCGGCCAGTCTGTCCGAGACCCCAAAAAAAAA